ATTCCAAAGAGGTTCCGGAGAAGTTCCGAGCTTCGAAAAGGTTCGGGGTTTCGAGGAGGTTCCGAAGAGGTTCCGAGGAGGTTTCAAGGAGGTTCGGAGGAGGTTAACGAGGAGGTTCCGAACAGGTTCCGGAGGAGGAGGAGGAGGAGGAGGGTTTGAGTACCAGAATTCCTCTCACGGAAGTACGCCGTTGCGCATCTCCGGTGAGCGCATGATTCACGAGATTTTGCTTTAGTTTTGTCACAGGGTCAGAACACACAGCTTTGTGCAGCAAGTCTCGCAGATCGAGCCAGCTGCTTGTGGCTGGAAGACTACATCAGAACTCGTCAGAGCGATGTCGTGTGTACCGTCTATACCTTTTCAGGTGGTACTGGCCTTAGTTCTTTTAACCTTGACCATACCCCATATTGATTTAACCATCTCCTATAGCATACCAACCCCTGAACCTCAACCATACCCAGCAATTATCCCCGGGCCTTGCCCTGTATATTCCCTCAATGATAAGCATTCCAGAGCCCTTCCAATTTATAACCCTAAACCCCTAAACCCTAAACCCTGAACCTCCAAAGCCTAAACCTGAATGCCTGAAGCTCTCATCCTGAAACCCCAAGCCCTCGCGACCTGAATCAAATCCCTAATATAGGGGCTTAACTAATTGGGGTTTAGGGTTTAGGGTTTAGGATTAATTCCCTATATTATTTTGCGGGATCCTTGTTATGATTAGTATCGTGGGCCCCAAAACCCTATTCTAATTATTACTAAGGCACCTATATTCAACCCCGAGGCCGAAGCTGTGGAAAAAGGGGTCTCGCAGCCGCTAGCTAACCTACAGGCAGGTACGAAGCCGCTTGTAACTCCAATCACAATCAGTAGGACTAGTAACAACAATTACAATAATCTGAAAAAGTAATACCAACCATAGTAATGATAATAATGGCAATACTAGCTGACTGGTCGCAACAAGGAGAGTAATCATTGTTCAAGAATGAAACAAATAGTGGTAACAGTAATTCTAGCAGTGATACAGGAGATCGTCTCCGAAGCCCTGGCATGGGGATGGATCGACAGTCATGCCGCAGGGCAGGATAGAGTTTCGGGTTTAGGGGTCTAGGGTTTAGGGGTTTCGGGGTTTGGGGTTTGGCACTTGGGGAAGCATAAAGAATCCTACCACTAATCGTCCTAAATCCATGTTCCAACTATCTGGAGTTCAGGTTCGAGTTCGGGACTCACAGTCAAAATTTCGGATTCTTTGGCCTAGTCCCTTCGCGCAGCAGGGGACTTTAAAGGCCTTTAGAGCTGAGCCCCAGCCTCCGCGACCGCTGCGCCTCAATCCCTAGGCTTTTGTGCCGATCTTGGTGGTAGTAGCTTAGTAGCAGATATTCCAACGATAGCTCCGAAGGGTGAAGTGGACCAGCCTCTGGTGCGGATCTTGCTGGTAGTTGCAAGTTAGCTTTGAAGGCTCTGCTGGAAGTAGCAGTCAGTCAGGTGAGAATTTTCAAGGGTGCACGGTTTTCATGTTTTTCATGTTGTTTGCCATGAGAATTTGCGTCTTGCGCAGATATGGTTGTGTGAACATTCAGATCTTACTGTGCAGTTTTCGGGCGCTAAGCCAGAGACTGCCATCTTCATCCTTCTCGTGTGCCGTGTTTGGAAGTCATGGCTCACTTGACACCTGCGCCTGCTGGCTGGAACATGGTCGTGGGCTTTCAGCCACCGGATGTGTCACGCGACGTGTGCGGCGCGCCAGTGCACTTGCAGCGGAGCCCGACAGGGCTTTTCGTGGCATGCACCCTTTTTCCGCCGTGTCGTGGGCGAGGCATAGGCCACCGCGGCCTGACGTATGCCGCTCCTGCAGCGACAGCACCACCTGTGCCGCTGGGAGCTGGCAAAGAACGACGGCCTTGCTGCCGTTGTTGGACGAATTGACCGAGAAGCTCACCAACTGCAAGGTTGAAGACGGGCAACAAAACATCCTTGCCTCGCTGGATGCAGAGTTGCTGGGGCGCTGCGTGGAGAACCGGCCACAGTTCTTGAAGGACACACCTGGTGGCCTTCTGCAGAGCTTCGATCAGCAGCTTTGAAATCCAGGGTTGAGGGTGTTTTTTCCGTCAGGGTCGCCGAAGACCTGGTTCAGGGTCTAGGAACCCTAAACCGCCCTGAACCCTAAACCCGAAGTCTAGGATCTGGTGTGTAAGGGTTTTAGCTCTGAGACTTTTGCCTTTGTCAGGTGCACTTCTCCTGAGAAAGGGCTAGGCTGTTCAGTGGTACACGTTTGTTAGCTTTATTGTTTCTGGCCTCCCAAATACATGCCCCATGGGTTTCGGAGCATTCCTGATAAGGAGAACCCCTTAAGCTCCAGAGTTTCTTGGTGGAACCGGTCTTCGAACCCTTACTTTCAGACTTCTTTACCTTTCCGAAACCAGCAAGTCGGACGATCCTACACCTAAAATCCTTAGAGGGCCCATGGGGCGCCCTTAGAACCCTTCAACTTACAACCCACGTCGTTTCATAATATGTAAGCTGTAACGGTTTGGGGTTTAGGGTTAAGTAAACCTAAAATATATGATATCTCTTTTCCAGCCGGAAACCTGAAGCTTAGCTTCAAGGCTTACTAAGCGGCTACTAGTGCGAAATCTCTATCGTCGGAGGCCCATTAATGCAGGGGCCTTAATAATTTGAATAGGGTGTTTGGGTCCTTTGTAGTATATTTTCTTTTTCTTCGGTCAGGCGCAATGTCGGA